AAGAGAAAGAGAAGAAAAGAGAGGAAAGAAAGAGGAGAAAGAGAGGAAAGAGAAAGTTAGAGGAAAGAGAAAGAGAGAAAGAGGAAAGAGAGACAGAAAGAGGAAAGAGAGAAAGAGAAGAGAAAGAGAGAGAGAGGAAAGAGAGACCCTTTTAACATCTAAAATGAAGATAACACTGTATATATCCTTTTTTACCTTTATTTTAAATATACACACACAAACATACACACACACACATACCTATAATAAAGGTAAAAAAGGATACATACAGTGTTATCTTCATTTTAGATATCAAAAGGGTTTTGCGGCTCCCAGTGTTTTAGAAAGAAAGAGGAAAGAGAGAAAGGAAAGAGAAAGAGGAAAGAGAGAGACAGAAAGAGAGGAAAGAGAGAGAAAGTTAGAGGAAAGAGAGAAAGAGGAAAGAGAAAGAGAAGAGAAAGAGAGAGAGAGGAAAGAGAGACCCTTTTGACATCTAAAATGAAGATAACACTGCATATATCCTTTTTTACCTTTATTTTATATATACACACACAAACATACACACACACACACACACACACATACCTATAATAAAGGTAAAAAAAGGATATATGCAGTGTTATCTTCATTTTAGATATCAAAAGGGTTTTGCGGCTCCCAGTGTTTTGTTTTCGGTGGGAAACGTGTCCAAGTGGCTCTTTGAGTGTTTTGGGTTGCCTACCCCTGGTCTAGTCTAACGAAGAGAAGGGCTAGGGATGACATGATGGCAGTATTCCAATTGTTGTTCCCAAAACTGGGTCTTAGCTTGGTGTTGAAGCCAATTAATCACCAAACCCAAGATGTGGAAAGACTTTTATTTTGGTACCAAGAGATAAAAGTGGCCTCAGCTTTGAAAGGTACCAAGGCCGTGATTACAGTTTTACAGCAGTTTTTATATTCAAAGGTGATTCACATACACCCTTTTGCCCTCCTCCCAATAATACATGCATAACATATAATATTGATTGGTTACCTGGATTGCAGCCCCCCAAAGCTTTCTCACTTGCTATGCAAAATAGCTAAATGTCACGCCACCTGTTGCCCTCCTCAGGTCACGAGTATCTTGCAAAGCTTCTAGATTCCTGTGCCAGCTATGTGGTTTTAGATTTTCTTGTGAGACTCAACATCCTGGCTAAGTGGTTGAACCTGTGAATCTGTCTTGCTTCATTATCCCTGCATTCCCCCTACCCCCCGCAGCCCCCCACCCCCGCAACCCCCCTCACACTGCTCAACTGTTAGCAAACTTATGCTGCAAATCCCTCAGTGAGCAGAAAGGAAAAAAGTTGTTAAAGAAAAAGTTGTTTAAGATAAATGTTTCTTCTCAGAATTCATTTTCCTCATTCCCATGTCCATCACAACCATACCTGGGTCCTATCTCCACATATGACCCTTCTTCTGATCCCCAGGGCCTCATCTGCACATATATTCTTTCATCTGACCCTTCACAATATTATAGTCTCCCACTACTTGAGGGGTTGTCACAAAGAAGAAGGGGTCCAAAGCACCCAAGGGCAGGAGAAAATGGGTGGAAGTTTATTAGAAAGATCCAACCTGCAATTAAGGAGACATTTCCTGACAGTGAGAACAATTAATCAGTGGAATGGTTTGCCTGTAGAAGTTGTGTGTACTCCATCACTGGAGGTTTCCAAGAAGAGGTTGGACAAAGATTTGACCAGGATGGTATATATACTGTATGTTTCCTGTTTGAGGTCTGTCTCTTCCAACCCTGTCATTCTGTTTTCTATACCTTTTCCATGCTGTCAGTCACCTTCTTGCCATTTTCTCCCATTAGTCACTAGTGGACCAATCATTTCCTTGATTTTCTTCTTGTTCTTTACATACTGAAAGAAACTTGTTATTATTGCCATTTTTTTCAAGTCTTAGTTCATTCTGAATCTTAGTATTCCTGATCCCTGTCATTGTTTTCCCTCAGTTTGTCAGAGAGTTCTTTTTGCAACCCTGCTGTCTTTTGTATTTCTCCGTGTTATTGTTTTTATTTAAGATGTTATTATTTCAAATTTCCCATCATCCTGAACTGCTTTTCTTCTAGGATTTCCATCTATGGAATCTTTCCTAATATTTCTCAGTTTCTTGAACTCAGCTCTCTTAAGGTTTAAAACACTGGTCTGACTTTGTTCAGTCACCTGTGCCTGCATTGTGATGAATGGTCACTGTCTTCCAAAGTTCCTGCTACCTCCATTTCCTCAGTCATTTCATCCGTATTAATTAGGAGTAAGTCCAATATAGGTGACCCTCTATTCTCACTTCCATTTTCAGGTGACAAAATAGATAGCTACGCATGTCAAAAATCTATTTGATCTCCTACTTGCTGCAGAGTTTGCTTCTCAGCTGATGTATGTACTTTTTTTGCCAGTATTTCCATTGTTTATGTTGCTTCTTATAGCTTCTATCATTATCTGCTAGATGAAAATAGCCTTCTAAAAGGTTTTTGCTGCAATTCCCCATCTGAAATTTATCATGTCAAAATTTGTTTCTTTCATATTTTGGAGATTATATATTTCAAGTATTAGAAATGCCAGTTCTCCAAGGATCCAGTCCTACAGCAATTATTAAAGGGCTTTGATTTGTTACATTGCTGTTGTCGGTGTGGCAGAACCCTGACAGTTGCGAAGTCTAGCTGAAGAACGACGTAACACAATCCAGTCAAAGTTCAGTTCTTTATTTGCTTTAATATTTAGACAGAATCTTACCAGACTAAACCTCTACTACCTTTATCCCAATGGATATACCCTGGAAGATTCTATGGAGTGGCTATCCTAACTTCCTTTCTCTTCCCATAATTCAGCTCACTCTGCTATCTCTTGTGTTGCCCACCTCCTTGGAATGTGTTCCCTCCTTCTTGGGAACCTGCTGCATTATTCTAGTCCATTACATCACCTCCCTTTGTAGGCACATTCCACTATACATATTTTTCTTAATATTTTCATTGGCCATGGTAGGATCTTACTCATATGTATTCATAACACTTAAAACATGTAATGATTTATTACATTATAATGAATAACATGCTCCCTTATTCATATAACATATTGGGGTGAATGCAAATAATTAATTGGGGTCATATGCTGAACTGCATGCAGATTTACAGACTCACACCTATCATTGCTGTGCAGCTAACTTGATTTTGGAATCCATAGTGGAATTGCAGAAGTGGTTCCTAAGAAATATTTGAAAGATTTCTGTAGCTGTTCTTCTTTCTTGACAATAACCATTAGTGCACAGAATTTCTTTCTTATTCTTTCTGGTTATGGCACATTTCCAAAATTCTCTATGGGTTCTATAAATGCACACCTGGAGGATCACAACAATGAGTCCAATACAACATGTTTTGCCTTTTGAAATACATGTTTCCTAAGAGGAGTTGAGAAAGTGCTGTGAATAGATAAAAAGTTTGAAGCTTCAAAATTGTCTAATTAAATCAGATGTTAGATCAAGATATAGAACAGAGGAAAAGATATCTAACAAATGCAGTGTTCAGGTGCCGGTCAAGAGATGCAGAGCTTTTTCCTTCTCCCAAGTATAAGGGAAAGGGAGAAAAGAGGTGATTGCTTCAACTTAAGTTGAACACATTCACAGGGGTTTAGTGTCTTGGGAAGATGGGATCATATAATATGGTCTCCTGAAGTCAACTTAAAAAGGGGCTAGCTGAAGTGGTAAAGTGAAGCCACATCAACAGAATGTGATTTGGTTGTATTTTGGAATGAGAGACTTCTAATATCTCTTTTGAGGCAAACTTTAGATTTTTTTTTCTTTTTCTGAATATTACATAATATTGGACAGGTTAGAAGATTTAAATGGACAGAAAGAAGTAAAAAAAAGTAAACAGTATATAAATAATATTTCCTTCCCTCTGTCTTAAACAGAAAGTATCAACCTTAATATAAGATCGGGTATCTCCCTCCAAAAGGCAAGAATTGCAATTTTAGAGAAGCAGTTACAAGGAGGCTCATCAAAGGCAATTGCAAAACATCAGTATAGTGTTATGCTGCAAATGTAATTTTGCCTAAATTTCCTTGATGACGGAGCTTCTTCTGTATCTTCTGCAAAGCCAGGGCAAAGACTTGTTTCCCAAATGTAGGTTATTTGCCCTTCCCCCCAAAAAAAAGTATTTAAGGTGTTTTGTAATACAGGGTTGTAAAACAGAAGAGTTGTTCCTTTCTTCTAACTCTCAATATCCATGCTGAAAAAGGCAGCTTCTTGACTCATATGACTGAAACTTCCCTCACTTATTTTTCCTCTGGGTTTTTTTTTCCAGCTCAGAATGGATAGTAGCAAGAAAGAGATGCTGGATCAGAAGCCTCTCTTGGAAGTGCAAGTATTACTCTCCATGGATTCTGCTCCGGATAGAGTCATGGGTGGAGGAGCAGAGGGACTTACAGGGGAAAAGATACCCTGGGAAATGATCACCCCTGTTTGCAGCTTTTGAGGAGCAATAAGTTTTGACCTGCTATTCTAGCATGCTACTATGGTTGATGCCTGATAATTTTTTTAATTGCTGAAGAACTTGATGAACTGCTGCCAAGAAGCCTATAAGGAAGATTATCTACAAGCCAGTGAGGGCCTTCTCATTCTTCAAGAAGGACATTAATAGCGGAAAAACTAAACAATTATAACTGAAATGAAGGTCTTCTCAAAGATACTATCAGAAATGCTAATGACAGGCTTAGTCAGAAGGTGAATACATGGGAATCAGCAAAGGATCTTTCTGCTAGTGGAAATCTTGATTCTATATGCAGCAAAAAATTCAGAACTGATGATTGCTGTACTTTTAAGTGATCAGAATTTGAAGGTATCAGATGAAATATCAGGTTCATCTGTTATTGCCTTACTGGAATTTCTTTTATAATTAAGATTTACTGCCAACAATTTAAAGAGATTTCATCTGTGACAAATGTAAGGCTGGCCCTTGGAGCAATACCACAAAGTGGGAAGAAAAGAGTGGGTGGTTCCATCATCTCAACATGGTGCTTCCACCCCCAGATAAGCGTCACGTATGTCTTACCACCTTTGTTATTATGACCAGCATGGCATTCATGGATGCTTATCTGGTAGAGCAGAACCAAGGGCCTCGTAAAATTGGTGTCTGCATCATTGTCCTGGTAGGAGACATTTGCTTTCTGATTGTGCTGCGCTATGTGGCGGTCTGGGTGGGGGCTGAGGTGAAGACAGCCAAACGGGGCTATGCTATGATTCTTTGGTTCCTCTATATCTTTGTGCTGGAAATCAAACTGTATTTTATATTCCAGAACTATAAGGCTGATAAGAGAAATCTGGAGACAGTGGCTAGAAAGGCACTGACCTTGCTTCTCTCCATTTGTGTGCCAGGATTGTACCTAGTGCTAGTAGCCTTGGACAGCATGGAATATATACGTACCTTTCGGAAGAAAGAGGATTTGCGAGGGCGTCTCTTCTGGGTGGCTTTGGACTTATTGGATATCTTAGATATTCAAGCCAACCTGTGGGAGCCACACAAGACTGGTCTGCCAATCTGGGCAGAAGGACTCATGTTCTTCTATTGCTACATACTGCTCCTGATCCTGCCCTGTGTTTCCTTGAGTGAAATTAGCATGCAAGGAGAGCATATTGCTCCCCAGAAAATGATGCTCTACCCTGTCCTGAGCCTGGTGACCATAAATATGGTTACCATATTCATCCGAGCCATTAATATGGTCCTATTTCAAGACAGCAGAGTCTCTACAATCTTTATTGGCAAGAATATAATTGCTATTGCTACCAAGGTCTGCACATTTCTAGAGTACAAGAAGCAAGTGAAGGAGTTCCCACAAAATGCCATTGCACTTGAGCTCCAGCAGAACTCAGTGCCCCACAATCAGACCCTCCACAGTACACAAGGCCTTCCTCATGAACCATCCCCCACCAGGGAGATTTTGGACACATGATGGGCCTCTTTTTAAGCATCAGCATTGGTTCTTGTTTTCTTGGGTGGAGGGAAGGGGCGAAGAAATAATTCTGCTCTCATCCCAGCATAGAGAGCTGCTTCCAGCACAAGATTTTAACAAATGGAGGAACATCCCTTGCAACTCAGGTATTTCCTAGGGGCCCTCTGGAAAGAAAGCAGAACCAATGGACCTTCCAAGCAGAACCTCATCCACTCCAGCATCTGATCTTTTCTATCTGTTTGTTATCTGTGCTTCAACTTGTAAGGAATGATAATTTTTGTTATCACAACCTTTTTTAAAGAAAGAGACAGGGTGGGATGGGGCAGGATGGGAGAATCAGGACTGGCACTTCAGTCAGCGCACCAATATATTGAATCCTATTGGAAATGCTTGTTGTGTTTACAGTTTCAAAGAAAACAAAAACAAAAAAAAGATCCCGTAAAGTTGCTGCAGAAAACTGGATTTTGGATAGTTTTTTAAATCTTTGCTAAGTAGATCTTTTGCTCTGTTCAGTTCTACTTATCAAGCAGCAGCCTCACTCATTTGACCAGGAAAGTTCTAACATTGCCAAAGTCTTCAGCCAGCCCTTCAAAGAATCTTGTTAAACATCACATCTCATATTTTAAGAACATTTTGTTATAAATCATTTATAAAATGATTCAGTGCAAGATTTCTGTTTTTCAAAAAACAAGTATTTCTGTTTCATTCACGTGTATGCACACTTCAATTCTGATGGCATGAAGTTCCAAAGTATTTCAGGCTACACTGAGCTGGGGAAAATACAGGTAGCACTATAAATGGAAACTAAGATTTTCAGAATGATGAACATTCACTTTTATTCCAGCAGCAGATTAATTTATAACTGTGCTGCTTTTATATGAACTACACAGGCCGCCTTTAAAATAAGGCATGGGATAAATAAGGTATCATTGCCCTTTAGGCAAGAACTATTGGGACACAAAACAGAGCAACAGTTTCCCAGCAAAAACGATGCACAAGCCTGAAAGCAATGCAAGACTACTTTTTTTCTCAGTGATGTCTCATTCTCTCACCGGTGTCTTGATTACATACCCAACAGATTTTTCCAGTGAATGTCAATTCTGCATCGGAGATATCATTTGACCATGCTTATCTATTCCTCATTTAACAACTTGAAACAAGGAATCAAATTTGGTCTCTTGCCATAATATCCCCATAAAAATATATAGTCAATCTTACAGTGCTGGGATTTATTATATGCTTTTAAAGCTCAGTCTTGTCATTAAGTAACTATATGAACATTTGGCCTATACCTCGAAACTATTCAACTTGTTCATTATAGTGGGAAATCAAAGCAAAAGAACTGGTAGAAGAGAGTTTAACATTCCTGCTGTATAAAGTAGCCATTTTCCCAGCCAAAAAAAAACAGTGGAGAGGAATGTAAAGGGGAAAGACAGTATCCCGAAACATGCAAAAGAATAATGGAGTCTTGCTCTGCATGGATCTGGGGCAATGTATTGGGCATTAACCAAGTCACTACCTACACTGAGCTTACTGCTTTTACTAGTTTGCTAATTTTAGACTCCCCAAACATGTTCAGGGTGTTGCTATCCCATGAAGATGCTTAGTGAATTTCATTATTTTGTCAATCATCTGGGACCTGTGTGATGCAGCTCCAAAGAGTTTAGTCACACCTAGGCCTGTGCATTTCATTTTGTTTGAAGATCATTCTCTTTCTATGTAATAAAGGGTTCTGGACCCCCACCCACCAAGCATTTTCTTTTACATGTATATTTTCCTTTTGTGGTCATTGTTGCTCTTGCTTCACTACTCAGAAGTTAGCATGACCTCTATTAACACCAAAGGTAAGAGCAATGAGTTAGCTTTTGAACAAAAAGTCTTTGTTTTCTTTCTAGTCTATGCGAATAGGACATTAATTGATTAGAGTAGACAAGATCCATAAACCACTTTGTGACAAGGAAGTTCATCAGAAGTTTGTGACAACATAAGTTCATCAGAAGAGTGTACAGTATGTGATTCAATAATTTGAGAAGGTACAAGGAAAATAACTGATTCCAAATAGCATTTCATGTGCCACAAAGTAGCACTAGAAAGGGCAATGATGATATCCATAAATGAGGATTTTATTTTATCAAACCAACTCATAATCCCATTGGGCTATTGTAGGTTTTCTATGCAAAATATATAATATAATTATAATAAAATATAATAGGATTTTTTTCATTATATTATATTATTATATTTTAATTAAATATATTAAATAGATATGATATGATATGATATGATATGATATGATATGATATATTATATGGGAGGGTAACCAATCTTCACAATCTTTAGGACCTAATTCCAGGCATAAACCACTAGATAACCAGTCAAATAAGGAGGTAAGGAGTAAAGAGAAAGAAAGAAGAAAAATTTAAGTGCAAATGAGATGTAGGAAGCATACCCAAGGTAAGCCACAAAGGACTTAAATGCCTATACATGAACACTCAAAAGTTTAGGGAACAAACATGGTGACCTCAAAATACTAGTATATGAGGGCAAGTATGCTATAGTTCCCATTACAGAAACTTGGTGGGATGAAACTCATGACTGGAATGTACTAATAGAAGGATACAAACTGTTCAAAAGAAACAGACCTAACAAAATAGGAGGTAGAGTTGCATTATATGTTAGAGATCACTTTCTACAGAGATGCACACAACAAAGGATGAAAGGCTTCTAGAATGCATATGGGTCAACATAAAAGGGGGGGAAAGTGATATTTCCATAGGTGTATACTACAGGCCACACAACCAAGCAGAAGAAATAGACGAACTTTTTGCTATTCAGTTAACAAATTATAGGAAACACACCACAGTAGTAATGGGGGACTAACTATCCTGATATCAATTGGGAGGCAAACTCTGTAGCAAGTAAGAGATGGAACAGATTCCTGACCCACTTAGCTGACAATTTCATCACCCAAAAGGTAGAAGAGGCAACTATGGGGACAGTTATACTGGACCTTATTCTTACCAACAACAAAGAAGTGATAGAACAGATTGAAATTGCAGGAACTTTAGGGGAGAGTGACCGTGTCATGTTAAGACTGCAATATAAAACAGACACAAGCAACAGAACATAATGAAACCAGTGTCTTAGATTTTTAAAAGAGCTAATTTTAACAAACTCAGACAGCTTGGGAAAGATACCATGGATGAAAATCTTGAACAAATTGACTCAAGAAGCTTGGTAAACTCAGAAAAATATAATTATAAAAGCCTAGTCCAATTCACACACACCCCCAAAAGAAAACGAAGAAAAAATCCAGCATGGTTGCACAAAGAATTCTCATACTGAGAGAAAAAAGGATAAGTACAAAAAATGGAAAGAGGGATACATAACTAAGGCAGAATACCAACAAATAGCCCGAACCTGCAAAGATGAAGTTAGGAAAGCTAAGGGTTTGAACAATGTAAGACTTGCAACAAATGTCAAAAACAATTTTAAAAGTTTCTTTGAACTCATAAAAAACAAAAAAGTCAAGGAAACAATCCACTAATGGGAAAAGATGGCAAAGAAGTAACAGGCAGTAGAAAAAAGCAGAACTGCTTAATTCATACTTTGCATCTGTCTTCAAGCAAGAAGAAAACAATGCTCAACTTACCAAAATGAGAATGGTAAATGACAGGTTAGGAATTAAATTTAATTGCAAATTAAAATATGCAAAAATAAGGTAAGAGAACACCTGTCAGCTCTAAACAGATTCAAATCGCCAGGTCCTGACGGACTACATCCCAAAGTTCTGAAGGAAATGGCAGACATGATTTCAGAACCATTGAAACATATCTTTCAAAGTTCTTGGAGCATCAGGGAACTACCTGAGGACTAGAAAAGAGCTGATGTGATTCCCATCTTCAAAAAAGGGGGGAAAAAACAGATCCAGCCTGACATCAATACCTGGGAAGACCTTGGAAAAAATAATCAAGGAACAAATCTTCAAACACCTACAAGCAAATAAAGCCAACATGGGTTCATCAAAGCAACAAGCCAATATAGATTCATCAAAAACAAATCATGCCAAACAAATCTTATTTCATTCTTTGACAAAGTGACTAAATGCTGTGGGAATAGTATACTTAGATCTCAGTAAAACATTTGATAAAGTAGACCACAACCTACTTCTTGGTAAACTAGAAAAATGTGGGATAGACAACATCACCATCAGATTGATTTATAACTGACTTACAAATTGTACTCAACTACATCTACATGGCGGGAAGTAAGCAGTCGGGTACAACAGGTTCGTTTGGGGCCAATACTCTTCAATATCTTCATAAATGATCTAGATGAGGGACTAGAAAGAGAACTCATCAAATTTGCAGATGGCATTAAGCTGGCAGAAATAGCCAGCACCCTAGAAGACAAGCTCAAGTTCCAAAAAGATATTGACAGACTTGAACATATCTATCTAACAAAATGAAATTCAACACAGATGAAACTAAGGTTTTACACTTGGGCAGGAAAAACCAACTGTATAGATACAGACTAGGTGAAACGTGGCTTAATACTCAATAAGGCACATAGTCAGATAATACAAATGTTTTTATTAAGACTATGTTTTTATTAAGACTATACTGACTTAACAGTAAGACTTATAATAAGCTCATATATTCTATTCAATATTCATCTACTAGGGACAATATGCGCAGAAATAATGGCAGAATCCCCAGATCAGAGAAACAAACCCCATCTAAAAAGTGAACCTGAATTTTATACCATCTTGAATAATATGATGACTTTATACCAGAACCTTATAATATCTAAACAAATTTTGCAGGAATATCAAAACAAAACAGCAGATGTCCCTGAGATGATTCATTAGTTAAGTTCAACAATGAAATATATGGTGCAAACAGCTAAAATACTGGTAGAAATATGTAAGCAGAAATAGAATGAAGAATAAACTGACAGAAATTGGACAAAGAACAAGAAAATAAAATGTCAGCAGCCTT